AAAGATATGAAAGAAAATGTCCAGTAGGGTATTCTCTGTAGCCAAATCCTCCCATTTCTCAATAAATACAAACACTTGCAGGAATGTCAGTGTTGAAAATAAAGCTAGAGTCAATGTAGGTATTGGAAAGACTGAAAGATCAGAAATAGAAAACGTAAAATGATTGTTGTTGTTCTGTTGTTTTTCTCCCCTTATTTAAACAACAAACCTTAAGAAAAACTGTTTGGATGTTTTGAGATACCACTTATACTATTTATCAGTTTGCTCCTGAAGCCTCCTAGGGGAACACCAGGTCCTATTTTTCAAGTTTCCACTCTCCTCCACCACAGGAAAAGCTGTATCAGCATTACATAAAACAGGCAATAGAAAAGCAAAGAGTGCCTAGGTCATCAAATCCTCTCCTGTACCATCAATTATGTACCAAGAACAATGCTATTCAGAGTAACTGAGATTTCAGAGCAGTGTTATCAAAACTGGCTTGGGTCCCTCCCCCCTCCTATTCCTATGACTGGAAAAGTGCTAGAGAACCATGCTGACGTGCAAGCATCTCCCCAACATGCCCATTCAGCAGCTCTGTTTGAGGGCTAACGTGCCATCAGAAGAACTAGGTAATGTCAAATCTGTTGAAATGGACCTGCTGAAATGGACAGACAGATCTAGCCATCAAGTATTTCCTGTTTTGTTATAGGTAGATATCTAGTTATTTTATTCCAGATCATTTGCAGGATCCACTCTAACTTATGATCCCTGTGGACAACTGAAAGGTCAACAACCTGCAACAAAGAAAAATCCAAAGTGGTAAAAGTGCGGTGCATCCACACTGACAATATATATAATACTAGGTACAGATTATTCTTCATCCTACAGAGAGGTAAACTGCCACCATTTTTAAAGACTTACTTTTCTACAATAATGCATTATTTACATAAAGCCCCACTTGAAAAACTGGCAAATAAGGAATAGAAGAAATGCTGATTTCAGTTCTGATACACTACTTCTACAGGAACATGAGAAAGGATTAACAGCTGGTTTTGATTTATATATCAAGAGGCTCAGGAGCTGCAGATCCCCTCCTGTTATCACAGACAGCCCATCCTTTAGAGATAGATGTCCAAAGTCTTGCAATGTTGTCACCAACTACAAGTGTCAGGTATCATTTAAGTGCCTACATTGGAAATATAAGCAGCAACAGCTCCCTTTTGGAATGGGGAAAAAAACACTTGATAGCTCTGCAACTGCAGATGCGATATTAACACTTGGGTCATAACTTTCCACACCAAAGCAGCTCTTAACACTCTGGGTCTATTCAAAAAGTGGCCAGCAGCAGCAGTAAAATTCTCTCAGAAAACTATGCTGTAAGAACAGACTCCAGTCTGGTCTGCCACAACCCTCTGGGCAACTAGTTGAATTCAACAAGCAACGTATTACGGCATTTCATGAAGCCTGTCTATAAAATAGGCATTCCTGCCTCCAAATTTGATCTGGTACATCCACGCAGAGCCACGCAGTCCAGGCTTACCAGATCAGGAAAGCACAAGATCTTCAATCCACTGCAGTCCACCAGAGCAACAGACCTCTTTAACCCCATTTGTAAACCACGCTACTGGTAATTGCCATCTCATGAAGCACTGTTATGAGGTCTCGGTACTCACTGTTTTTTCCCAGAAAGCCAAAGTAGTACAATTTAATACTTTCCATGTTCATGCCTGAGGAATATGTGGGAATATGAGAAGGACAATCATGAAACAGTCACCACTAATAAGGGCTACTTCTCTTCTTGCTGTGTCCCCTACTGCTTCATAGTGGAAAAAAGGAAACAAAAACATCAAAGCGGAAGCTAGAAGCATAGATACAACACCTCTGAATACTTCAAAATTAAGAACACATGGCCATTCAGAGATAACTTTTTCTAATATATTGCTGATACTGATATGAAGACATAGTTACAAATGCTTTCACCAACACCAAAGCCAATGCAGCGAGTCACTGCTCTGCATATCAAATCCCTGCATTTCATTTTCTCCTTTACTCTGTAGTTTGTTTTTCCATAACACTGTCTTCATTCAGTTGCCTATAAGGGGACAGATCGAAGGAAGATGGGAGTAGGATGAAGCTCTTCCCAAAGCAGATTTCTGCAGTCCAACAAATCAAGTGCACCAGAACTAGTATTAAGTGGCAGAAGCAAATTCCTGTTCATAACTGTTTCTTTAACTAGTCACTAGTGAAAGGTTACCAAAACAAAAGCTCCTCATTTCATTTTGTTCTTTTCTCCACCTCCTTTACTCACCTTTCCTTCGTTTAAGGACGGTGTAAATCTCAGGTAGGTACTACTATTTCAGAACACTAGAACTACTGCATCGTAACCTCAATCAGCTTTAGTTTTAGACAACTGACCTGCACTTTCTGCATAGAAAGATTAAATGAATTTTTAATAAGTTTAAATATGTTTAAATAGATTAACCAACATTTGAACAGCATGTAACCTTTCAAGCGTTAGAAGAATTCCAAGAGAATGTTTTAAAAGTGTAGGACACCAACGAGTGATGTTTACAGAGAGACAGGAAGTCTGACATTTCATTTTGTTTTTCTGTGGGTTAAAAGCAAAGATTTTATATGTTTCTGAAGTCATTATCATTGTCTGTGGGTGGCTAAATCAGAACATCCCAGAGGCTCTAGCTGCAGTATTAAAATTCTTCACTACACAAGTACTTTGCCTCTTTATCCCAGGAGAGAGGCAATCTAACACTCATTTTATCCTTAGCTGAAAACTAAAGTATTCTGCAGATTGTCTGAAGATATTAAGTCCCTATTAGGTGTAATAAAGTTAACTGTTATTCAAGTAATTTGGATATACAGGTATTGCAGTAAGAAACTTAACGAGTTAAATCATTTGTTGTGATTCCTACCATTTAGGAAGTACTCAAAATTCAAGGTATGGTCCAGCTTGAAGAAGTTTCCCTTGCTACTTGCCACTAAAAAGACCCTAGAGCACAGAACAAAAATACAAGAAAGCCAAAATTTTCAAAAGCAGCTTTTCCAGTTGTTCTCTACTCCGCAGATTAACACCAACATGCAAATTTTCATTTTTTGCTTTCCAACATAGAAGGCAGCTTGTCTCTCTGCCTTTCTGGTGTGAACACCTTTCTGGTGTTCACAGAAAGTTTCCTTAAAATTTACTCAACTGAATGGAGTGAGGGAAAAACTTTCAGCAGTGCCTGCTACTGCTGGAGCTGTCAAAAATGGCTTTTTCATTAGCTACATCCAAAAAAGCTCCTTCAAGAATATAGGTAAATGCATTAGAGTGCATCTCTTCAACTAGAATAAATCTTTAATATGCAAGCTTCACAGGAAATGGAACAGGAACTGCAATGCAATTGTACCACAACACCTTAACTCAGTAGTTACAGTTCCAAGGCACCTTCCACGGTGAGCAAGGGTGTAAAATCCCAACTCGCATTACTTCCCATTACATCCCATTACTTCAGTATGAAGAGAGCACTGCTTTGTCCCAAACTAAACAGAGTATCGTAAAAAAATAATCTAGGAAATATTTGATTGGGGTTAATTAATGGGTAATCTCTTGTTCTATTGGAAGTACACAGGACAGAGTTACTAATTAAGCATCATTTTTTCCAAAATAAAAGTGGTATTGTGCAATTTGAGTCTTATCGACAACATACAGTCTGGTATTTATGAAAACAAAACTGGGAAAATAAAGAGTAGCCACAGAGCTTTTCTTGACATCCTACCAGCAGCTGCTATTTTTGACAGAAATTAAGACTAATAAGCTAGAAATATATTAAAGACGAATATACTTCAGTAATGTTTTAGCAAGGAGATTATTTGCCAGCTTAAGTTCTGGCACAATGCTTTCTGCACAGTACCAAGGAGTAGAAGTAACCCTCTTCCCTCCCGTACACACTAAGGTAATTTAGCAACTTCACCCACATTTGACAGCTGCAATGTCTTGCCATCAGCCACACCCACATTTGACAGCTGCAATGTGTTGCCATCAGCCACACAGTGAATATATATCGTCCTTGATTCAGAACCAAAAGCAAAAGTGATTACAAGATGCATCAAGTGCAAACAATGCAATCATTTAGTAATAATTACTTCACTAGCTTATCTAAACCCATCTACTTCTAAGAACCCCTTCCCCACAGTATTTAGATGTTCTCTTACCCACATCCTCATATGCTTGTTCATATTTCAACCCCTTCAGTTTTATTAGATTCACATAGACACCTCACAGGATAAATGCATCAAATTACTGATTCATAGAATAAGCAAAAGGCAATTTCTTTCCATCTTACCACACTTGCTACAAGAAAGCTATTCAATCTCTTCATCTTTTACCCTCTATAGATATAAAAGGTATACTGTTACTTTTTGTTTTTAAAAACTGAAAGACACCCCAAAACACAAAGCCCCCTGTAAGATGCTAAGCTGTTACAACTTTCTGGAGCACTACAGCTATGTATATTCTGCGTACACCAAAGCTCCCAAAACAGCTTCCCTGGCACAACAGAACAGTCTTAAGAAGCATTTTATAATTGCTGTCTCAAGGCTCTATTTTATGCTTTTCCCTTTGTATGTACGGCAACAAATTTACCAGTAGCATGCTTTTTGTTTTACACATCTAAATATTTGTCAGAGAAACAAATTTAGATATTAAGTTTCTTCATTTAATAGTCATTGTCTCACTATCTCTGATAAATAGCCTTAATTATGCATAAATTATGCACTAAAAACCCTTCTTTTAGATGTAATAATTGGATATCATCCTAACAGAGAAGCAAAAGCAATTTGAGGCAGTTCTTTTCAAATTAACATAACTACAGAGAAACTCCATCATATTTGAGCAGAAGCTGCAGAAATGTAAAGAGACAGATTTCTTTCTAGAAATCAGTAGACTAAGACTGTGTTAGCTCATGTTTCATATTACACAAGAGAAAATAAACTGAAAGGTCAGTTGAACAGTTACAGCATTGCCCTTTTCCAAGGTAATCAGCAGAGCATGTAGCAGAGACGTGAACACAAGCGTGACTGGAAAGACAGTAGCTGATGAAGAGGCACGCTGCCACAGGACGCGGGACAAAATGCTGCTCCCACCGCCAGCTGAGGAGCGTGGCACTCTGCAGGACGTACTTCACTAACTCTGATTTATTGCTTTAATTTCAAATTAGTGTTCTTGTTAACCATTCTCGTTTTCATATTGCCAAAACAGACTAGAAGAAGGAATACTGAACATTAATCACATCCCCAGGTAAGCTACAGAAAAAACCACCGTTATTAATTTGTTTGTAATAGCGACACAATACAGTCAAAAATTCATCCATCTGGTTTATTAATGCATTTTTGCTTTAAGCACCCGAACTGTTGTTCTTCAGCACTGTTTACCTGCACACTGTAGGGCAGAGGTCCCATCTTTGCCCCCACCTCGCCCATCAAAATTTATTTTCCTATCAGAAGAATGTATTTATTGGCGGAAAGCTCCAAAACGTTTTTTACAAACCACATTAGCATATGCTTAAACGCTCCTTACATTAGAGACAACTCAAACATTTTATTTACTAGAATTATTCCTAATGAAGCTGTAAGCAAGAGTATATCGATTCCCATTTTATTCCACTGACAGCTATTTCTAAAAAACTTTCCTTGTATTAATAGGTATCTAGGTCTAGTTAAGGGGAGAGGGAAGAAGTCAGCAATTCCCAGAGCACTAGCACTGAGGTGGAATCAAAACACAAGCTAAAAGCAGTAGCTACAGCAAAGGTTTCAGAAGATAATATAGGAACTTTGAATGAATTTATGATATGCTTTTTGGTGGGCAAGTGCTACTGCCTCATGAAGGTCTTAACCAACCTGCAAGTGTCAGGCAGTACTATTTCTAAGGCAATTATTTGCCCGGTAAGGATCAGCCCACGTGCCTCCTATGGGTTTTAAAAGCTCCGCACATCGTGACAAGATAGTCTGGACTTCAATGACTATTTCATTTCATCTTAGCTGTTTAAAAAAAGCTGTTTTCAATGTGTTTTATTTTTACTAGCTTACCACAGCAGTAAACATAAGAAGCCATCTGTTTCTTCTCAAATTTGGATTTTTAAGTGTGCTGCATCAATTTGGCTTCCACATTCTTTGGAATGCCGCAAGTGATTTTAGTTGGCATAAATGAAGCTCAATTCAATACTAAGAATGATTTATCCTCCTAAATAACCCCTAAGAAGTTAAGAAGCAAAAGTTTTAGTTGGTAGGCAAAAATTTTGGTAGACAAGTTTATGTCAGAAGTCACTCCTGATTATTTCAAATTTTCAGATCAAACACTGGATATTTGTCATTCCATTAGCCTCCCAACCCACTTTAGAGGGGACATCTTTCAATTAAAAAAAAAAATAATTAATTTTGTACCTGAAAACTCTGCAACTGCTCTAGCTACAACATAGTTGTTGATTTTCATAAATTTTACTTCATTTCCTATTAAGATCTGTTCCAAAAGTTAAAGAGTCTTGACTTAATGGATCAGATCAATGGCTTACATGCTCAAGTAGTTTACTACCTGAAAGTTAAGTTAAACAAAAGTCTTCTCATCCCATAATAACCATAAAGCAAACAAAAAACCTCACTACAGAGCTGCTTCTTTGTCAAACTTCAGATTAACTAGGTTTAAATAGATAGCCAGAGGCTGTCAAAAAGCTGGATAGAAGAAGGGTACCCACAGCAATCACCAAGCTCTATACTACAGCAAAAGTTTCTCCCCTACAACAGCTTTCCCCCTCATCTAGCGTAAGCATAAACCTGCAGTGCTCCACTCTAATTTAATAAACCTTTAAACTCTATTATTTTGGCCTCAATTTCAAGATGTGCATGTATATCAACTAAATAAGCATTCTGTTTTCCTCTCACAAGCACAAATAGACCCCCAAGGTAGGTTTTCTTCCTAGCCTGTAAGTTATTTATCGCCCACTTTTAGATTACCTCTCTGTATTTTAATGCTATAAAGAAAACTTCACAAAGCTCCAGGAAAGAAGCACTTCTATGTTATTTTACATATAAAGAAGAGAAAAACAAGCATTAAGCGTGGGATGGGAAGGAAAGTATACTTTTGCTTTTCTGGCTGACAGCCGAGGCGGTTCGATCAGTCTTCACTGGCTGGATCAATAAGTCTTTTCTATTTAGGCTCAGTGGCTCTATAGCACAATTCATATTGATTGCAGATTCAACTTACCAAGTGAGCCTGGTCTGCTAGCTGGGTTCCCCGTAATGCCAATGAAGAATAGCAGCCTGTTGAGAATAGAGTTTTAAGGAAGAAAATGTTTCCTCCAGTGACTATAGACCAAGATCCTAGAGGGATTTGGGGCTGGAGAGGAGGAACAACACAGAGCTGCTTTACCTGCTAAGTAATCGTAGCAGCCTTAGGCACCTAATCAGAAGTGCCATGCTGTCTTCACTGCACAAGCTTGCCTAAGCGTAATTCTTAACTGCCTTCATTGTTAGCAGGACCAACATGGAAAGCCAAGCACTCAACTCACTTTACAGTCTGCAGTGCAAAATGCTTGTAATTTAATATCAATAAACTAGAAGTGTAATTAGGATTTGGGTACTTAAGAAACATCTTTAACTAGTCCCGGGTAATCAAGCCTATTCCCAAGGAAGATGAGCAATCAGGAAGCGTGTATGCATGCAACTATTCACAGCAGCAACCAACAATACAAAGGCTTACTTTATTCACAGCCAAGCATTTTCAAGGTGCACTCTAAAAAGTTCTTCCAAACTTTGGTAAGAAGGAGCAAAAAGCTGAGAAGCACTGGTCATTAACTGGTTTGTACCATCATCTCAGGAATAGCTGTATGAATGTCAAATTCACAGAAGTTATTATACCAAATATTTGAGCCTCTTAAGAAAACAGAGGAATTCAAGTTTTATGGACTCTGCCTGTTCTTCTGAAACACTAAGCCACTGTATCGCTTTGACACAAGTCTTATCGGAAGGAAGCTACATGAATTGCTGCATGTCAGGAATCTGGTAAGGGCTTCGTAACTGCAGAATGTGCACTACCCGGCAGCTGCTGGATTCCTCTCACCCACATTTCTATTTTCACAGGATTGGAGCTCAGAAGGACATATGACAGTTTCCAAGACATCTGCCTTCTGACGGGATCGTGGCTGTATTTGAAGTTAGCAGGGACAGCCCGATAATCATAGAAGTCACTGTTGCTTTGCAGTCTCCAAGCATATGTCAGTCTCTTGTCTGTAATTCAACCTGTCACTGCATTAGGAAGCTTATGGTCCAAGTTCTGAATGGTAAGGGAAGTTGTAAACAAGAAGCATGGGAGAACAGCTAATACTGCACCAGTGCTCACAAATAATCTGCCCAAAATGTGACTCAAGCCTCCATAAGACACCGAAGCTCACGCCAGAGTTTTACATAGTCGAAGCAGTGAGGTTGCTGGGACTCACAGAAGGATGCTTGCTGCTATCAGGGGGTGCAGAAGAAGAAAGAAACCTCACACTCCCACACCAACCCCCTTAGAGAGCCTGGTATTGCCAGGGTCAGTCTTCTTGATATGCTGCACACTGAAACACGGCCATGATCTTGCTTTTTTGGCAAGGTTACTGAGAAAGCTCCAGAGATCATGGAAGTATTGACATTTGTCTAATGCTAGGAGTTCAGAAACAAAAGACAAGCAAGCTGACAACCAGGTGGAGAAAGTCTATTTTTACAGTTCCTTATTCATCTCATCTGCTTAAGGCTCTATATGCACCATCTAAAGCAAGTACTAAAGTTAGAGAAGCCTTTCATATCAGATTTTGACAGAAGCTTTATTTACCCAGAACGCCTTGTATCAAAATTTCATATTTTTAACTTTATCCATCTGAAGCGAATGCTTAAACACAAAGGTTGAGCAACATAGTTACACACTACAGGTTTAACAGGACTTCTTCCTTGTCACCAATTTTCCATCCGATGACGTTCCTATGGCTATTTAGTATGATTTTTTTTTTTCTTCTTTGTGGAGAAATTCAGAGGATTCACAACTTCTCAAGCAGTGTATTAGACATACCTGTCTATCCTTGAGGTACAGAATAGAAAAAAGCAGTGCACTATAATCTTGATGTTAGTATACACACAATTATCTAAGTATTTACATCAGGTGCTTAAACATCCCTTCCTTCTGCCCTCCCCCACCCACAACAGGTAGAACTGAACATTGAAGTCATCTCTTTTTTGGAACTAAGCCTAGGAAGACACCACTGGCTCCAATTCTCAGGCTGGAGACCTGCCAAAGCAAAGCCTACGAACAGAAGCCAGGGGGATGCCAAGTTAGCCCCAGAGCTTCAGACAGCACGGCCTCCTTAGCCCCGTTCAGCTCGATACGCAGCAGCATCAGGGAAGAGCCACGGACCTACAGCTTTGACGAGCTTTTCAATTTATCCGGAACCTCACATCTTCGTTTAGGAGCTATCTACCCAGAACAAAGCTCATAAAGACTTCTGAGGCATCAAATATTGTTAGGTACGTAAAGAATTAATGTGTGACTTTTCCTATTGCAATATATTTGTTATATTAGAGTAGCTGGGGTACTTATTCCATAAGTACATCTGTCATTTGTAAAACTCCCCCGAAATTCAATTCTTCAACCTCTTCCTCCTCTCCCGAGGAGCCTGAACTGCTGATTACCTTCTGCAAGGCCACACACACACACATTAGCACCCACAGGTGCCTAGGTGGCTATCCTTTCCCCCCCTAACATATACAATTTAGGCACTGCCAGTTAGAACTTCCTTAGTTCTCATGTTAAATTTTTCATCTTGTACCAGTTTCACGTAAAATGCATGCAGAAGTGACAGGAGGTACCAACTAGAGAGGAGAAAGGAAGTTTCCATTAGGAACATAGCAGTGGACTAAAGCCTGAAGTCAGTGCTGACCTGCTTCTCAGCAGGATGCTGGGACACTGAACATCCCAGGGTTCCTGCCAACCAGAATTAATCTAGGAGTATTTACTACTTTATACCAATTGAAGCTAGCCAGTTTCACACAACAAAGAATGTGACAAGATATAAGAACAACAATGCAGATAATGACAGAAATACAACCGCTGCGAGTGCCAAAACATTCTAATATATCTTCGGTTACCAGCCACCACATACACCTCTGCTAAGCTTGCATTCATTATCTGCGTACATAAATACACCTACAAAGAAAAAGGGATGCCACAATGCTAAAACTGACAAAAAACACAAATGAAACAACCCAGCTCCTACCCTGAAAAAAAGTTGTGCTGTTGTGGCAGGCATCATTTCTCCTCCTCGAATACCATATTAGCACAATTGCCATGCAATTTAACATCAGGTCATGTAGTCACTGAAGCGTGTCAAATCAACTTTTACGTTACTATCACCTTAAAGAAGCATTACAATTACAGTAACCACATGTTCACAAGGACCATACTTGGTTATTTCCATTCTAATTTCTTGTAATTTCTATTTAAATTTATGATACACACTGTACACATATGCACACATGAAATTTGCACACACGGACTTATATAAAGAGTATTGTGCCAAAGCATTCTGGAAACACCAAGTGATTTACTATTGACAAAAACATCCAGAGTTTTCAGCACCAAAGTATAAAACTCTTTAGGAGTAAAGGCGTTATGGATGCAAGACTGTATTCATACTGTATATCACCCAATACTAAAGATTTTTCTTCATCTTTCTTTAACCTTTTAACCAAATGTTATAGTTGCAATTTCCAAGTCTTTCCTCCTGGATAGCTAACTCAAGAGGGAGGTATATTGCTGAGTACTCTGAACCAGAGAAAGGTAAGCCCTCAGGAAAGGTGATGGGAATACATCTCCTTCCTGAGCTGAAAGACAGAGCTGCTGTTCAACATCAGGATGCCTCTATGAGGCCAAGAGGAACCTTCTTTTTCTGTATCACCCAAACCTGCAGGAACGTGAAACCACCACATGATTCTCTGCATCTCTCCTTGTTTACCTTCCTGCTGTGGTTGGTCCCCTTTATGCCCACAGTGGGGTTCTGCAGGCAAGCCTGGGCCAACACACGAGCTGTACGAGCACCTTACCCACCTTTCAGCCAGCTTCAGTAAATTTAAGTTAAGTGCACCTGCCCTAATTCTGTCACACTGAACTCCGTGGTGAACTTCTCCTGCTGATTTCTTCAGGATATTTAGGGAGACTGGTCTCTATGCTAAATTTGAAAGACAGATGCAGCACTCTGCTGCTTTTGAAAAGGTACCCAAATATATTTGGGATAGTTGTGTTTAGTACATCTTTCGTCCTTTACACGTCTCCCTTAAAACAAATTAGCATAATTCTGCCTTGCTAGGGAGGGACTAATGTGGCACGGTTATTAGAACTACTTTAATGCCCAACGTGCCTCACACAGTAAAGGGCTCCGAGCATTTACATTACTCTAGTTCTCTTGAAGAAAGCCTGGGTCTTTATATTCCATTAATTTATTCTTAAAAAAAAAAATACTAATTCTCACATTTTTCTGAGCTAAGCAGTTCATGCCTTTTCTTTCAGAAAGTGTTTGCTAAATGAAATATTTTAATCACTAAGTACACAGGGCATCAGTAGCCACACCGTTTGACAGAGTTTAAAAACCTTGGTTCAGAGAGTCCTGATGTGCCATCCCACTGCGTTATGTTACACGATACAGTTACTTGGCTACAAGGAAAAGCTCAGAGCACAAGACCAGCAGACAGAGAGAAGAACCACGTGGAAGGGCCCTTTTCAGTACACGTCAGGCTTCTAAATGCAGACCAGAGCCACGGTCTCTTTCCGAGTCCTAAAATACCACACAGCTGGTGCAGTGAACTGCTCGGTCTGCCACATGGAGTCACAGGAACAAGAGAAGTTCATTCAAGGTTACCAGCATCTGAATTGTGAACGCTGCACTGCGTAAGCACAATAAGCAAGTCTCAGGTCTGAGCTGAACAGTTTTCCCTTGCATATGCCATATGTACAGCTGAATTCAATAAAAAAGTAATCTTCGACCTGCCAGACGACTTTGAGAGAAACCTCTTAAGAATACCAATTATTCCTAATTAAGTGTAAACTTTCAGATTGCTTACTGAGAAAAATCCACAATTAAAAAAAAAATAAAAAAATTTTGCAAGCACAATAGTATCTGTAATGAGCAGTATGAACAAAAACTGATACGGACAATAAAACAGAGTTTGAACTGATAATTCATTCCTCTTCTATAGCAGTAAGGAGTTGCTAGAACTGCATTTCACTTCCATAATTGAGTTTTGAGTGGCTTACATTCATACTCTAATTACAACACAGCAAATATGAATTTCAACTTCCATATATCATACATGTAGAGCAAGCCCCCTTCCTTGCCATCTTGGGGGATGTATAGGAGAAGCTGTCGTGTCTAGGTACTACTCCACCTCGAGTCAACCAGGTTGCTGTCTTTCTGTCTTTCTGCAGACAGCCTCTTCCCCTAGAGTATGCTCACAGTGTGATGCGAGTTGCAAACGGCTCTACCAGTTTGTTCATGCCCTCATACAACCCAAAGAAATCTGATCTCAAGACCGAGAAGACTGGTTTTCTGTACATACAAAACCAGAAAGCTGGATGCTCAGGGACAGCATGCAATCAGAGCCAGTACACAAGGCGCAGTACTGGAGCACGCTGTTTCACAAACGCAAAGCTGACCTGAAATTCTCCAGCTGACAGCTTCTACCAAGAGCCCAGAAAATTTTCCTGGGAAGCGAAGTGGACGGTGAGGGGACACATGGCATGAAGAAGGCAGATGAAACTGCACACTTCTATTAAGACCCTTTAATAGCAGTCAGGAAGCTGGAGCTGGCTTCCCCTCCAGGCGCTCTGGGAAGGGGCTCGCAGGGTTTCAGAGGCCCCAGCCCCAAGGGGGTACCAAGCAGGGACCCACAGCCAGGCCCTGCTCGTTGCCCACAGCCTTCCTTTACAAGGCCCCTTCCCCTTCTTCGTTTCAGTCTGGAACAAGCCCCAGCTTAGAAATCCCCAAGCAGCCAGGCCAGATGCCTGCGCACAGTTTAAGAACAGGCCCGTGATGCATTTCTGCACGCCTGACACTGCAAGCAGCTCACGTGCAGCCAAGGTTTAAAGCCATGAGCACTAATAAAATACATTGTGTTAAAAGGCTACAGTACCGTGAAGGGAAAAGCTGTTCTTTAATATGTAAGTAATGAGTTGATTAAGTTATTAGGCAAAACAGGTAAGCAGTTTCAAAGCAAATATTTTGGCAAAGGCAAATGCCTATTAATTTCAGTAGAGGTGAACCTGAAGTGTGACAGCTTTTTTACTAAAACAAACAGAAGGCAAAGCCTACAGTTTAAAACTACGTTGTCCCTTTGCTGATCAACTATCTCTTTCTAGACATGATTTCAGCATTAGGTACCTTCTACCTTTGCTTTAAGAATAAATTCAGAATAAGATCCATCTGTCAAAGGGCTTTCCTCAGTGATTTTTCTCAGTGCCCCTCAGAGGGGCACTAAAAGCTACAGAAAACACCCCAGCTTTTGTAATAATCATGTTTTATTCTCCCATAAACTGAAATAACACCGGAAGCAAGTTTAGCTTGCATCCATACAGCTCACTCTTAAGTCCATTCAATTAGAGTGAAAGCAACCAACCATCCCACCCCCCCAAATAAGTCACCACACACATTGCCCACATCACATCCACGAGCTCATCCCCTGGACACAGCTGAATAGACAAAATCATCTTATTCCATTAAAAACTTTGCAGGCCAATGCTGTCACATTATACAGTCGCTTGCAGTTTTATCTCGGGTTTGTAGTCTCCCTTAGAAACTGGAGGGTCTCATCCCACCACCTCCATGCATCCTCTTACTGCCTCATCCCCAGCAGCACTCATGGAAACTCCAAGTTTCAGTATTATGCAGTATGTTCCAATTCATATATTTTAACAACACTGAAATAGGACGAGTTACAACAATGATACAATTACAAGGTTCATTTTCTTCCAGAAGTACTTTTGTTCTGGAAGTTTAAGACACAACCAATATGCACCATAAGTGTTAAAGACTAAAGAAACTATGCAGAAAAATTCATTCCTAGCTTACTACCAAATATGTAGGCCTTTAACCATCATCTGATTACAAAGGAGGAGTAAGGTAAAAATAAATTTTCTGGAGGGAACTTCCTTCCAGCACTTTGCTGGCTAATCAAATGTTGCACTTTAAAGCTCCTAACAATTTTTTCTTTTTCTCCAGAGTCCTGGGATCCCCCAGAGAATATGAAATTTTGGTTTGGACACCCCAAATCCATGCTACAGATTGCTCCCTGTCTAAGAACTACACAACTAAGTAGTGCTTGTAAGCAAAATTAAAAATGGTGACAGCAGTATGAATGAAACAACAAATGGAAAGAGCAAATCGAAGATGTAATGCAGAATATTGTCAAGACCTGAAAACACATTTAGAAGTTTACAAATGTTACCTTTCCGTAAGTTTAGTTAACTTTCGGTTAACTAAAAAAATATTTTCACAATACAAAAATCCCATGATTATTGAAAAAAAAAAAAAAAAAAAAAGACTTCTTTGTAAGGTATACTGAATGCCACCAATTATGGGAAACATTTAGAGTACTGACATGAGCATATAAATACATGTTTTACCGTAAATAATGCTGAAACTGTTCTTGTAGAATTTGACAGTGTTATTTCCAGGAATTTAACAAAAAGCAGTTAAGCAATTCCACCTACTAAGAAAAATTTCTTACCAATATCTAGTCAGGATATCAGAACAGTAAGAATTAGTGAAGTGACACAAATATACCATTATTCTACCTGAAGGTTTATAGTTATCTTGCTCACATATAGATGATACAATGATGCAATTTCTTAAGTTCCCCGCATTTGACCAGCTCTCATCAGCTAACAGAGCAGAGCACAAAGGAACCAGCCAGGAGAAGCAATACTCCATTACAAATGTTATTGAGACGTGTGTGTGATCTGTAATTACCATGTCACTGCAGTAACCATCATGAGGAGTAACACTCCACGTTGCAATTACAACCTGTTTGTTCCAATCATCTTATAACCACCCTATTATTTAAAAAATAAAAATAAAATCCTACCCGTCTACGAACAACTCACGCACCATGCACTTCTTCCTAGCAGGAAAAAGAGAAAAACAGCTGCAAAGTCAGGAACTTCCTGACAGAGATGCAAGCCTCGCGTTTTGTCTGTCTCTAGAGGTGGTGTGAAAACCTTCACTCTGTATTCCTTTTCCTTCTGCTCCCACATTGGCCCTCACTTCCTCCATCCTTTTTCATTGTCCTTCCATTATTTGACCACCCAGAAATTCAAATTCACATTGCAGTAGCATGTGTGTGTAGGCACGTGCTGAAATCCCACAGACCTCCACCAAAATTTGCCTTGGCTGCATTATAAAACATAGAGAAAGCAAAATGAGAATTTTAGAGTAGTATATGCAATGTTGTCATGCATTTATCCTCAACTACCTAGGCTTCTGAGTCAAAAGTTTTGAAATAGTCGACTTACTCATATAACCTGCAATGCAAAAGACCTGAATGATTTCTTGGAAGATGATTTAAAGATCGTACAATAAATATCTCCATCATTCAAATAAGAACACGGGTATCAGCACGAGGGAAGACCTGTCTTTTTAAGCCCATAAATTCAATTTTAATGATCTTGATACCTAAAGAATAAAGTAATAAAGTCAACTAAAACCTTGTGCTCGTACCATATAACAACATCTCAATTAAGTACTGAAACCGAGCACACTGTTCTCACCAACAGGCTACTTGAAACTTTGTCAGAGGAGGGTGTGTGTGTGTGGAAACAACACAAACGGTGCCTTGCACACTGGCAGTCAGTAAGCAGCTAAGTTACAGATGCTTATTCAGTAAGAACTATTTAATCCCACAGAGCTTCATTTTATTTTTCCTCCAAAGCCTACAATGCATGAGCAGAAGCAGCTATGTGTCCCCTCAGTTATACCTCCCACTTGGGTTCATACCTTTGTGGTATAAAATATGCCAAGACTGCAATTTCCTCCTCACTTCAATTTCTTTACTATTTTATAGTTTACAAATGGACCACTTGATGAAAAAAGTATCAATAGCAACAGTAGGAAAAAGGAAAATCTGAAGTCAAAGCTTCTCACCTAACAAGCCATGTATTCAATGTCAAAGCACTGCCACTACTGTACAACTCTAAATTCAGATATTAAGGAAAACAGGAACACAATACTTAATAATACACAAATCACTGCTTGGTTGTTTTCCCTAGAGTGGGCTCTATACTGTAGCTTGAATGGACAAACCTTATTAAGCACTGAATAAGAACCGTGACAAAGTCTCAGTGCCATTTTTAGAACTACTTAACCTGCCAACAAGTGCTGAGAACTATGTGGCAGAGTCAATGATACCAAGAGCAGCCCTTGAAATTCACGGCCCAGAGTAACCTGTATAACCAAATACACAAAGTCCAGTCTATTTCCTCTTCATAAAGTCCACGTTGCACAAGTGTGGTATCAAAACACGTACTTCAATTAATCACAGCCACATTCAAAGAACTTAGGCAAACACAGCTAGAAGCCATCACCGATCTTTTAAAGTATGAAGAAAACTGTTCTAAAACCAGCTTTACATTAAAAGTGCTTGTTGATATACTAGCAGATGCTACTGGTGAGCAACATCCTTTTTGCTGACAAAGTCCTCAGTGAAGATGCAGTTAAACCACTGAATTTGTCGTCACAAGTTTTGTCTAGGTTGGAAAGGGCATCAGCAACAGTTGGAACTACGAAAAAGCACGCTCTTGCACCTATAAGCTGTACTGACAGCACAACCATTTCTCTAACATTGCATGTTGTGCTGGCAACGTCTGTCTTTAAGAGAGCTACTTCAATATCTGCTTGTTGTTGCCCTGCCAAGTGATGCATTGATTATCCAACCTATAACACAGAACTAAGCATTTTTGAGAAAATACTGTTTCAATTGAATTATGTTGACTGGCTAGACTTTGCAAACTACACCAATCCCTGCTATTTAAGGACAAAAAAGGATGTTTAGAGGAACTTCTGGAGAAGAATCAGGTCTTGGCAAAGCTAACGTTTCCTACTTCTATAGGGCCTGGAAGATGCTTCTATCATAAGCCACTACAGCAAAAATGTTCTGCAACAACACTTAACAGATGTAAATGCTCTTTG